GATCTCGAATCTGTTCTTAGGTTTGTGATACGTACCGTATCTTTCTTACCGTATCTTTCTTACCGACACTGCAAAAAATAGTGAAATTCATAACACATTCTCTGAATTGTCTCGACACAGAGAAAAGGATGCAGAGTTAGAGAAAACCTTGGCAACACAACGAGAAACAGAAGACGAGGCGGAGAAAACCTTGGCGGAATTCAAAACAAAGATGGAAGAAACATCGAAGAGGATGTTTGACGATGCTAAAATACAGGTACTAAAATTTTTTGTTTGGAACATATCGTATCTCCAACTTAACCGAGTGGAATGCTTACTGGGTGTCTCTCCAGGGGTGGATCCAGGAAGGTTTTTCTAGGGGGGTGCTGGGTGAGCAGCCGAGTGTTTCTTTATAATTCTTTAGGGGGTAGTGGAGAGCATTCAAATGAATTGGCCTCCTAACGACTTGAACGCCAAAGCGACAAGCTTCCTTGGGGGTTCAGGGGTATGCCCCCCGAAACATTTTGAAAATTAGAACCCTAGAAATGCCATTTCCTGTGAATTATGAGCTTCAGTTTGACTTCAAAAAAGGAAAAACTTTGGAAATTATGCCATATTTCTGAATTTGATTTTTTTGCGCCCCCCTTGCACCCCTGTTGACCAAGGCTAACAGGGGTGCGCACCCCTGCCCACCCCTCCTATAAACATACGACCCACATTCTATCACAGGGAACAGTTAAGGTGGTAGAGACGCCAAAACTAGACAACAGTATATATACTACAGTAAGTAGCACTAACGTCCTAACTTTTTCCTTCGTTCGACACGTCGAAGTTCTTTTTGTATTTTTCAGGTAGTTGTATCCCTATCAATCCGAAGCTTTCAACAGTATATATTCCTGATCTGATGAATGTAATTGAGATTAATTGATTTTAAGCTTTCATTTTCTCGATTTTTTTAGATGAATAAAGTTGAACAAGATTTAGAGAAATCCAGAACTTCACGTGAGAAACAGGCCAAGGAATTTACGAGGCAGATCGAGAATGAGCGCGTTCGGCACGAGAAATTAGTATGTCGTATAAAAATCCACAGAACTTTAGCATGTTTAGTTTAATCAATGGCATCGTCATTGAGGAAAATTGTTTTGTTGTTTAAAGGTTTCAGAGTTAAAGATTTCGTTTGAACAAGAGAAGACATATTTGGTTCGAGAACATCAACATGAGAAAGATCTCGTGAATAGAGAACATGAGAGAGAAAAGGTACATGCCTCGTACAATGTCGAAAACTACGCACAATTTTAGTTGTGTTGATGATAATCACCGGAATTTGTTTTAGGAGCTTTACGGGGAGAAACAGCAAAGCAAACTGCAAGAGCTGGAAACTCAATTCCGTAGCAAATCTTCCAAAGATGCCAAGGTGAGGACCCTTTCGTTGTTTTAAAGGACAGCTATACAGTTAAAAAACGTCTTTCAATTTGGAGAAATTTTAATCAAGCACACTCTTTTAATTGTTATGAACTTCTTATAATTGTTTCAGGTGATTGCTGACTTGCAGCAAGTTAACGTCTCATTACGAGAGGAGGTAATTTCGAATCGTGGCAACTGAAACCCTGAATAGCGAGAATCTCTCGATATCGTAAGCGATACTGGGTCGAGTATCAAATGTACTGGATCCAGCATTACGAAAAAATATTAGAAAATCGCTTAGTTATAAAATGAACTTATTATTCCCCTTGAGTTCATGCAGAAGGAAGCTTGCCGAATGATGGCAACTGAATCCTTCAATAGCGAGGATCTCTCAATGCTGCAGGCGCTTTGCGCTACAGAGTCCAGTGTGTGAAAAAATGGTAAAAGCACTTAGTTTCTTTTGATAAAATAAACTTATTATTCCCCTTCAGTTAATGCAGAAGGAAGCTCTGTATAAACAACAATTGGTGGAGTTAGGAATGCTAAGAGAGGAAGAGAAACAAACATTCAAGCGGCAAGAAGAGACACAGGTATTACACTGAATTACCCTCGCAGCCAATGATTTCATATTCTAGTAATATTTATCAAATGTTGAAATATTTTGACGCAGACAGCAAGGTACAGGTCTGAATTGGAACAAGAACGACTACAGCTGCAACGACATCATAGCACGGACATGGAACAAATCTTGGATAAGGTGCGTGGATCCGTGTGTAAAATTAGCCAAGGATGAGTACGGTGTTTTGAGTTTAGTTCTAGTTTTAGTTTGAACCAGTATAATTATTGTTTAGTTTTAGTTCTAGTTTAGTTCTAGTTTTAGTTTGAACCAGTATAATTATTTTTAGTTTAGTTTTAGTTTGAAAGAAGATTTCAATTTAGTTTAGTTCCAGTTTATACATGCAGTATAATTTCAATTTAGTCTTGTCGATACGATTACAAGGGAAGATTTTCATTTTTTTAAAAGGAGGTGTGGAAAAGTTTCTAGTGGGGTGCAAGCGGCAGCACTCAGCGTTAGGGTTAAAGATTTTCAAACAAAATGACAAAATAGGAGGGGTGAAGCGAAATTTTGGTGGGGTTGAACACTTTATAAGAGATGTTAGAGAGATTTTAGGGGGATTTAACCCCCCACCCCTATCCCCCCCCAGTAAATCCGCCCATGTGCGGTTAGTTTTAGCCGTGAAAATCGAAGCTATAAAGTTTATAGTATAAATCAGGACAAATCTTTATCAGATTTTTTATTATTATCAAATTTGTCACAATATTTACAAAGACACTGATAAACTGTATATATAACATGTTACAAGACAACACGTGACTTGGATGTGGAACAGGACTTACGTCCAATTAATACCGCATTAAATTATTATTTACAAACATTGTTTAATTATACATTCATTTCTTTTGAATTTTCTTCACGAGTTTTTAATTAAAATATATGTTTGGTCGCTGTTTGTTTTAGTCCAAGTTGTAAATATTTAGTTTTTGTTTAGTTCACTTTTCAGAGGATAACGCCTGTTTCAAACGTCGCACTTCTCATGAGCCGAACACATTAACAACAATAGATAATCAGCTGAAATGCCTCATCTATTGTTTCTAATGCGTTCAGCACTTGAGAAGCGCGACGTTTGAAATTGAAACAGGCCTAAAAATAGTTTGGTTTTAGTCGCTCATGTGTATTTTGTTTTAGTTAAAGTTTAGTTCTAGTGTTTATCTCTAAAATTATTTTAGTTCTAGTGTAGTTTTAATGGACTAAATTATTTTGGCATGACTAAAATAGAGTTTTAGTTCTAGTTGACTAAAACAATACTTTGTTTTTTATGTTACTCTGAGTGTATATCCACACCGGATGTGCTGAAAACTTTTCAGCCTGTCCGGTGTGGATATACACTCAGAGTAACATGAAAAACAACATATTCACCTGAGTACATATATAACATCAAAACACACACGAAAAATCATAAACAATACTATTAATATGAGAGATTGAACGACACGGAAAGAATTTCAAATATTTGTTTCCGTGAGCACAGTAGGAATTTAGCATAGGTAAAGTTTTGAAGGATTTGTAAGAAATGTTTGAGGGAAGTGACTTTGTGTTAAACAGCGAGTTATTTTCCTCAAACAGTTCTTATAGATCCTTCAAAATTTAGAATTTATACCGATGCAAAATTCCTACTGTGATCACAGAGACTGTGATAGTGTGAACAAGACTTTTGGAGGTTGCCCATTATTCCGATTAAGTTAGTTTGTTAATTTGTAAACTATATTTTACATAATGGTCAGGGACGCCGGAACTGGGGGGGGGGAGGAGGGGCAGCTGCCCCTCTTGCCTTTTGCTAGGAAGGGCAAGGGGGGGGGGGCAAAAGTGCCCTTTGAGTTGCAAAGTACTACCTTATAAATCACATTTCCAGTGATGCTATTTGGACAAAATCATGAGGTGTGATCTTGAATGTGACCTGATTAAGTGCGTTTGCTTTCATTGGCAAGTCAACACATTATTGTAGGTTTATACATGTATCACATCTTCACCGGGATCTATAGAGGTGCCCTTTGGTGTGCGGTTGCCCCCCTTTGCCTTTTTATCGTTCCGGCGTCCCTGATAATGGTCTTTGTGGCAAATTCCTTTAAAACGTGTTAGAGTCGATATCTATACTACTATAGTCGGGTTAAAGCAGTTGTGAAGTTGATCATCATTTGCTGCCCTGTACAGCGTTTTGCCACTCATTATAACTCATGCCTGTAATGCTTGTGATGTTACTCTGAGTGTATGTCCACACTGGGCAAGCTTGAAAAATATGCCTGACCACGGTGGGAATCGAACCTACGACCACCGTGGTCAGGCATATTTTTCAAGCTTGCCCGGTGTTGATATACACTCAGAGTAACATCACAAGCATCATTTTCACCTGAGTACATTACACCAACACAGAAAAAATCATGCTTATAAGCTTTTCATCATCAAGTGCAGTATTCTGCAATAACCTGCATCCCACGTGTTTTCCCACGTAAGTGGGGGTGTGTAATCATCCTTACTTGCAGCTGAGAGTTAAGTGGAATTACGAAGGACGCAGCTCAACCTGATCGAGTCGAAGGCTTTCTAAGGGCGCCTTTGGCAGCCACCTTATGACTTATGTCTGATCACGGGGCACAGCTACGGTGGAAGGGTCAGTTTGGGGGCTAATCCCAACCCACCCTGTCAACTTTCCCTGTGGGAAGAAACCCAAGTTCCCGGAGAAAACCCACGACTTTTGGTAGAGGTTGACCGACTCTTTTCATAAAGTGTCATGAGTCCGCAGCAAGAGTGGAACGATCTGAGATCTTGCTGTGGACTCATGAACTCGATTGCCCTGACGATTAGATGCGCCCTTATGTAGCTTGAAAAGTTGGATTTTAGCGGAAGGGAAAGTTGATTATAAAATAACATGTATATAACGCGTGCTCTGACTGGTCGAAACCCGTGTTTGGATCAGGCCATCCAAACACGGAAGACTATCGTGTTGTTGTTATTTTATAAAACAATTACTTTATGGTTTCCCTGTTAGGATGGCCTGATCCAAACACTTGGGAATGTTTCTCGAGTTAAGAAAAGCGTGCAAAATCACTCGCCTTCGGCTCGTGCTTTGCGGCGCTTTTCTTAACTCTCGCAACATTCCCGCGTGTTTGGATCAGGCCATCCAAACACGGAAACCATAAAGTAATTGTATAATAATTTTTTCGTAATAATTTTTCTCTTCCCTACTGTGTTTCAGACAAACAATAGATTCAAGCAAATGGAAGAAGATTATATCGCAAGATCAAAGAAAATGCAAGAGGCGAGTACTTTAGGATGATGTGTGTGGGATGTTGACAGACTGCGAGATCGTATCGGAAAATTCGTTTTAGTAGATCCGACATGATACGGCACGATCTGCATGGCAATTTGTTGGAGAAATGACCCAGGTCATTCATCTTGCACTATATTGTATTCATGGGGAATTTCTCTTGCATTTCTGTAGACTATGGATGCTTTGAGAGAAGAAATACAAACCTTGAAAAATGAAAGAATAACGTAAGTATTACTAAAGAAGTAAAATATCTAAAGCCCTGGTCAAATGAGTCATGAGAGTTGATGAGAGTTGAGAAGCGAGAGTTTGCATGAGAGTTTTCTCAACTCTCATGTCCCGGTCAAACGAGAACAAGAGTTGCATGAGAGTTGATGAGAGTTGAGAAGCGAGAGTTTGCATGAGAGTTTTCTCAACTCTCGTGCCCCGGTCAAACGAGAACAAAAGTTGCATGAAAGTTGATGAGAGTTGATGAGAGTTGATGAGAGTTGATGAGTGTTGACAGCGAAAACTCTCATCAGAATTCGAGCCAATTCAAAGTTGATAGAGTGCATGAGAGTTGATGGTCAAACGAGAGCATCATCCTCGTTTCACCTGACCTGGGCTTAAGTTTGTTTCGTAGAAACTTTATACAGAGAGTGGTTGAAGTCTGGGATCCCTGATCCGAATGTGTTTGAATGTCCAATGATATCTGAGCATATATTGAACCTAGTGTGTATTGGTGTAGGTTACAGAACTCTCAAGATAAACGATTCAATGCAACCATACGTAAACACGAAGAGGAGAAAGCAAGTCTGAAGAACCATCATTCATCCATGCTCAAGGTAAGTAGACGTCTCGTAAATATCAAGATTTTTAGAGCACTGCACTGGAATTGCAGGGCCGCAGGTTGGATTCCTGCCAGAGGATATATAGTTACATTTTCCACAACTGCTCCTGGTTAAGTCTTAACTTGTATATAATCTTCCGCTCAAAATTTCTATCTACAAGAACTTTTCAGCTGTTCAGAAATCTCTCGTGTCAACTCGAAGTAAAACATGCAAACTTCATGGTTGTTTTTTGCGTTCTATTTAGGCGTTAGAGAAAGACCTTGAAAGACAGAAAGCTGTCGCAAAAGATGTTGAAAAACAAGCAAGAAGTGTCGAAATTAGATTGCAAGAAAAGGTTTATGAAAATAAATATGTAGCATTGTACACCACACTACACCATACCCTACCTACCATACCCCATACAATACCATACCACACCATACCACACTATGCCATGCATACCATACCCTACCATATCACACCATGTCATGCATACCATACCCTACCATACCACACCATACCCTACCATACCACACCATACCATACCATACTATACCATCCATACTATACCACACCATACCATACCATGTCATGCATACCATATATACCACACCATGCCATATATCATGCATACCATACAACACTATACCATACCATACCATACCATACCGCACCATACAACACTATACCATATACCATAATTTATCATTTTTCCATCAGATTTCGAAACTACAATATGACTACGAAGAAAGAATGAATAACTTACTACCCAGAGAACTAAAAGAAGTATGTTGTTACGTATTTTATTTAAAGAAGACGTTTAAAACAGGGGCTGCTTCGTTTAACGGTATTGTACTAGTTACAAAGATGACAGTAACGACGATAAACTACTGATACGTATCAGGCTGCAAGGAGGTTTACTTGATTAAAATATCAATTCTGCTCTCCTTCCTAATCTTTCAAACAAAGTTATTTTTCCTCAACCTGCTCTACGTTATAGCCTGGTTATTTTTGAAAACGACATAGTATTTCATTAAACTGATTTAGTTATTTGCCATCTTAAATCTTGAAGTTATCTTGTTGAAGAATGAAAGTAGTGATACATTATAATTTGGTTCCAGAGCTCAGTTGTGTTGCTATCTAATCAATATACAGTGTACACTGGTTAATTTGGATGACTTTAAGACTCCCTAGACTGCTCCTCACAGCCACCTACTTTATCAACAGACACCTGCTGATAATTGTGAAAACCCTGAATGATTGTCATTTATTTTCTAGGAACTTGAAGATACAATTCGTTCTCTCCGGCAACAAGTGTCAATCTTACAATCTCGAGCTGACGTCTTGCAAGAGGAACTGGATGCCACAACTACGCTATCTTCAACGTGGGATATGTCACGGTTAGACACACATACGTAGTGTTTCATCATCACACTGCATTCTAGGGCAATTCTAAGTGCACAATTGTTGCATAAAAAATATGTGTGACATTAAATGTCTAAATTGCCAACATTTTACCACAAATATAATTTTGTACATATATATTTTATACGTAAATTATTCCTCTAAATAAATTAAGGTAGTATTTATATTGCCATTGTAGCACACATGAAAATGATCGAGTCGAGGCTTTTTAAGGGCACCTCTGACAGCCACCCTATGACTTATATGTCTGATCACGGAGTACAGCTACTGTGGAAGGGTCAGTTAGGGGCTAATCCCAGACCCACCCTGTCAACATTCCCCGTGGGACGAAACCAGAGTACCCGACGAAAACCAACGACTTTCGGTAGAGCGTTGACTCACTCTTTTCGTATATAAGAGTCATGAGTAGCGAGAATTGAAGCGACGATCTCAGAGGTGACGACTGCGCCATTATAAAGCCAGCCTGGCCATCAGTCCATTACCACAACCAGCCAAGGAAATAAATATATCATTATCTTTCCGTTTTCGAGAAGAAACAATGAAACAACGGTAGCCTACAAACCTGCAAACCATGGTGTGGCGTGATATTTCTGTCAAGGAAAGTGCATTCTTAGAATGACTGTATATATTTTCCGCGTTCCAGCGCTCACAAAATAGTTAATTTGGAAATCGTTTACATTATAGCAATCAGCTATTAGGCAAATATTTTACTGTAATATCTATTACAAAACTTGTGAATGATATTCACTTAATGACTAAAAGTATTAAATTAATGGCTATAGGTTTCTTCACACTTAAAAGGATTATGCATAAATGGTGCTAATTTTATGATGCTAATTTTAGTATATCGCTATCTCTATATATAAATGAAAATCGTCAACAGGAAGAGTTAGATTTCACAGTAAGCACTTGGAAGGTGATCGATCTGCAGTGATCAGAATAAGGAAATAATGGTAATGCTTTTCATTATATGTAGTAGTATTTCGAGGCAAGAATTGAGGGATGAAGTTTATATAGCTTGCTTCTGGAAGAACCAACAATTCTGAGGTTGATAATGGTAAATGGTGGTACAATGATGATGGTAAATGGTGATATAATGATGATGGTAATATTACCATTACCATTCATATTTTTACGCCACAAATCTCATGTTTGTTTATTTGTATTGCAATATTTTGTTTTGAATGTCACAAAGGCAATTAAAATTACAAATAATGATCACACAACCAATTTTTCTTCGCATAGATTCTGCCTAAAAGCCCGGTTGACACTATCAAAGTTTCTGTGAGCACAGTAGGAATTTTTCATCGGTAAATTCTAAATGTTTGAGGGAATGTTTAACACTAAATCGGTTCCCTCAAACATTTCTTACAAATCCTTCAAAACTTAGAATTTACCTACGCAAAATTGATACTGTGATCACAGGCCCTTACTAATAAACGCTCCGGTTCACAATTGCAATTTTCACTGCGAATTCTATTTTTTGAAATCTTCCAATGTAAACACCCTGCGATTTCATGTCGCCATCTGATATCGGCAGGAAAAATCACAGCAAAATTTCAAGCGAAAACGGGCCTTGACACGCATATGGCCTTTTTGTAGTCGTAACACCAACAGCAACGTATATTATTATTCTAGACAAACAATCTCCACATTCTGACGCATTTAATAATCGCAAACCACACAATTACAAATGGGGCGCGTTCTGTTTATCTAATGAAAATATCATGGAGCAGATCTGATGAAAAATTCACTAGTTAGTTTGCGTGATTAGCGTCGTTTCTGCCTCCCCGTGACGTACTAACGCCCACGACGACGACGCACAATTCTTGCGGGCGTTTGCGCGGGTCAAGCCGTGAATTCTAACACGAAATATATAAAATTATTTCTTTTTTATTACACTTTATTATAGGACTGTTATGAGTTATTTACAGCAGCTGGATGGCAAGTTTGAGTCAGTTGATGGTTTTAATTAGTATTTTGTGGATGTTTGTATAAAAGTGTGTTGAATATTGAAAATTCTGTATTATCGCGCTGGGCTGACAGCCAATCACACGACTTCAGGAAGTTGATGATCGCTTGTGAAATTCTCCTAACCCTGCATCCCTTCGCATTTCTGAGGGTGTGGAAAAATGTCTATAGTTGTGTTTTGAGTCGAATTTATGTGTTTTTAAAACATGGTTTTCGACTGTTGTCTCGATGAGGGCACACGGCAAGCAAAGCAGAAGTCGAAAGACATTGATAAAAAGATAAGCCGTGAAAAGGAGCGCTTTCGAAGACAAGTAAAGATCTTGCTTTTGGGCGCCGGGGAATCTGGCAAGAGCACCTTTTTGAAACAGATGAGAATCATTCACGGGGAAGACTATGATGTCTCTGCCTTGGCTGAATTCAGACCGGTAGTTTATAGTAATATTTTAAAAGGGATGAAGGTCCTTGCCGATGCAAGGAGGAAGCTTGGCATCGAATGGGGAGATGCGAATAATCAAAGATATGCTCGGACCATATTAGACTTCCAAGCACCTCAGAAAATTGAGACAAGTCTATTTTTGCAATACGTCGATGCCGTGAACAAATTATGGCAAGATGAGGGTATTCAGACTTCGTACGATAGACGAAGAGAGTTTCAGTTGGTATGTTTTATTCTATTGAGTTATTATTATGATATGAAAATATGACGTTGTTTAGTCAAATATAGCTATATAATCGCATTTTCCAATAAAATCGTTCTGTAAACACGGCTTTCGGCTATAATATTCTACGCTATTGCTTAATGAAAGCTTTTTAATGTGGTATTTGGTCTATTGTGTGTTTTAAATAGCTTAAAATGAAGTCGAGAGTTGATCGTTGTTCGATCTTTTGACCGCCATACTGCAACATATTTCGGCTTGACAATGTCATGTCACGAAATGGCATTTTCATGCTTCCTCGGCTTCAACGTTGCTGTCTTGACTCTCTTTAACAATACTTTAATGAACATTTACAATATCTAGACCATCTGCTAAAGTTTAGACTTTTAATTTGCTGTTTTGTGCGATAGGAAAATATTAATTTCGCCCGTGTATTGTGGCAATTTACAAATTAGAATATCCAGCCTCGCGGCTTTCGTGAGAAAGGTTGCAAATTTAGTCATTTACGGTGAAATTTTTGCTTCTTTTAGGGCGATTCGACGAAATATTTTTTAGATCAGCTGCATAGAGTGGGCCAGCCGGTAAGTTTGGAGAGTTTCATAAATTCTTTAAGTAGATTAGCATTAATATTTCAGAAATATTAAGTCCCAAAGGAGTACAAATACAGTCAAAGTACACTGGAATTCGTGTGATTTCATGCTCAAATTTTGTTTTTATTTCACTAAAAAGCAAGGAGGGCTCGCTTTGAATGCAGTTTTAATGCGGCAAACCACATTTATTAAGTTAAGATGGCGATAATTTTTGTTCTATATTATCTCACATTTAATGAATTGTTTCACTCTTAAACTCGGGTGGGCTTAAATACTAACACATGGCGACAAACTCATCTCAGATAGGCAAATTTTGCCAAGCGAGCAATATTCCTTCGTCTCGGATTTGATATTGTTTTGATACCATCAAATGCATGCAACTTCATGATATTATTAAATAAATATTCAGCAAATCTCTGGCAAAATATGAGCATAATTTAAATTTTTTTCTGAGCTTTTTCCCCTGTTAATTATACATTGTTGTGGAGTTTTGAAACCGTATAAAAATAAAAGCTTTATCCCCAATTTTCGTGAGAAATTTTTTCGTGGAAGGTTATTAAATACATGGTGTGAAAAATAGCATTGCCTATGTATATTCCTTGCTTTTATTATTCATTAATAACGCCCAGATTGTTGTCTACCTAATATTTTTTCACACCCCTCTGTCAGCTGCCTGCTTCCACTAAAATTTGGACGGTGTGACCTAATTTGAAGTCTTTTAAAGGATTAACTTTGCCAGTCATCTGGCATAAAAGAGTGCTTAAGTTTTGTACGGTAAGACAAAAGAATTCTTTTAGTCAACTTTGAAATTTTAATTGCGAATTTATATTGATTAAAAGTGGTGCTGCTTTTTTATGACGAGAATTTTAATATTCAAAGATACATCTTTCCAACTTCACGTGAGATTTTAGAATGATCAGAGAATAAAATATACATTGCTTCGAGCCGATTTGAACCACTGGCATCTTTAGGCTTACAGAATGCTGCCCTATCCGACTAGACCTATTAAAGCTATTTTTGGGATTTAAAACTATTTTTATCCTGTCTAAGTGCATGGAATTGGGTTTTATATATTGTTTTTGATGAGGTCTTATTTTATGTAACTCTTTGACATATCAGTGTCATTTGGCAGTATTTAAATCATTCGCTATTAAATTCAGTGAATATGAATTTTTCTGACAAGACAAAAGGCTCATTGCAAAAACGAACTCGCAAGGTCTCTTTGCGAGTACTTGCATCTAATTAAAGTAAATCTCGAGCAATTTGATTCGATTAAATGCAAGAACTCGCAATGAGTTCATGCCATTGATAACTGATTGGTTGCCAGCAATCTGTTAATATTTCTGTTACTGTCCACAGAAAGTATTTGACAGTCCATGTATACCAAATACAGTAGTCAGTCCATGCTTCAGAATGGATAACAATATTTGAAATGCACCAATATCACTGTCTTGACAGGGGGAGTATGAGTGTATATGGGCAATTCACAACATGTTAGTATCCTTGTAGAGGATTTTTGTATTCCTCTGACATAATTAGGATTATTCTAAGGGCGGGGTTAAATGCAAGCTCTAAAGACTCTTTAAGCTACAATACTACACAATGTTTAGTTGCCATTTTTATAGATAAAGTTTGTAGATAAAGCTTCTCACTGAAGTTATAACTTGACCTGGATCTTCTGTGGTTGAAACTGTTTTTCCAAAAATATTTTAAAAGGTTGCCGGAGCCCCTGCCTTCTTTGGTCAGCTGTAATTGCGACACTTTCTTCCAGCCCCGACTGGAAAGTCAGAGGAAAAGTTGTAAATCACAAGCGTGATGCTTTGATATGCTGCATCACATCAGATTACCTTGGGGACAGAACTGAGCCAATTAATATCCACCATTATCGTTAAAATAATATAAGCCAAGTCTACCGGAATTATACTGTAGATTCATTAAGGTTTGCAAAATAAATAAGAAATGATCTTGTTTAATCCACAGAAGCAAACATTTGTAACTTGTGTATATACGTATCATTGTAGAAATAATCATTCCTGTACTAGTTAATATTTCTTTGTGATCGACGGTCAAAATTTCTCCTAAGAATGGTAAACAGTATTGTTAATATAATTTCTTCTAGCCACTATGTCGATTGGTTGCCTTTCTCAGTCTTGATAGCTTTGTCGTAAAAATGTAAAATAATATCAGCCTTCATTAAAACTTTTTAAGATACTCAGCACCCAATTGGCAATGACTGTATTTATAGTGCCAAAATTTGAACCTATTGAATAAAAAATGTGTCGTATGAAGCAACCTTTTCGAATCGATTTTCATTGTTTTGAAAACTTAAAAAATCTAATGCCCGTATTCTAAAAGCTCACTCACACTCAAAGAGTGGAGTTTCAATCTGAGCTTCCCTTGAGTGCCAATGTAGTTTTTGAATAGCTGGAGGGTGAGTAGTCGCTTAGTAAGGTACGACACTAGCCCTCCAGCTATTCAAAAACAGCACTGACACTTAAGGGAAGCTCAAATTGAGCATGTCCACTCTTTGAGTATAAGTGTGAGTGAGTTTTTAGAATACAGGCGTAAATCTTTGCTTCACAAACAACTTTACTATTTCTGGGAGTTTGACCATAGTTGTATGTTTTCGTTGCAGGATTACCTGCCGACAAAACAAGATGCGCTACATGCGAGAAAGGCAACTAAAGGCATAGTCGAACATGAGTTCGACATCAAGGGAATACCATTCAAAATGGTTGACGTGGGAGGCCAGAGATCACAACGTGCTAAATGGTTTCAATGCTTTGAAGAAGTTACCTCTATTTTATTCCTTGTATCGTCGAGTGCTTTCGACCAAGTCTTAATGGAAGATAGGACAACTAACAGACTTGTCGAGTCGTGTAATATTTTTGAAACGATCGTGAACAATAAGTTCTTTAGTAATGTATCTATTATATTATTTCTGAACAAGACTGATTTACTTGAAAAGAAGGTGCAGTCAACGAACCTCAAGGATTTTTTTCCAAACTATCAAGGGAATCCACACAAGCTTAGCGATGTACAGCAGTTTATACTACAGATGTTCGATAGCAAACGACGGGAGAGGAATAAAGCACTGTTTCATCATTTTACGACGGCCATCGATACGGAGAATATCAAGTTTGTTTTCCATGCAGTGAAAGATACCATACTTCAGTATAACTTAAAGGCATTGATGCTTCAGTGAGATTATGAAAACTAGTTTTATACATTGTTGTGTAACATTCAATGACACAGAAGAGACGAGGGTCGGTATTGCATCTCATTCAAATCCAACCGTAGAGTCCTGAAATGGTCGGCGAGCAATGCAGTAACTTTGTGACAAATTTCGGATGTTTACAGATACGTTGTCAATTCAAACATTTTGTGTGCCAGGATTTTGTTCAAAATGCAATCCATTCAAAACTACTGTAACGTTGTAGTCTCATGATGGTTTGGTCACCATGCAAAACGTTTTTAACAAATGATCAACTGAAAGTAACCATTGCGCAAAACTGTTTTAACATTTATCAAGGAAATTCTAAGAGGAACTTCTGTGACTTGTGGATTTTTGGACATATGAACATCCTCGTAGAATGTAGATTTTTAGGTTGCAATTTGCAACTATTGTCAAGAAGTTGTAACAATACACCCTTCCAGAAAGTATGTCATCTTGACCATAGAGCCTCATTTTTTGTGTATGTGACATTAGTTAAAGCTGGCTGTGTTGCAATTATGAAAACGAGGCTCTATAGTCAAGGTGATGTAAGTTTCTGGAAGCGTGTATCAACATATTTTAATCTATTCACAGTAGGAACCCAATGCGACTGTAGTGTCAAAATAAAGTATGTTCAAGCCAGATTTTAATGCAGGTTAAAATCCGATTTGAGTGAACTTTAAATTTATTCAATGACAGTACAGTGATTCAAATTCCTACTGAACAGATGCACATATTGTCTGTTCTCAACTATTCGCATAAAAAAACATTGTCTATATATTTTCTCGTCAAACCATAATTTAAGCCTGTAAACACACTATCAAAGTTTCTGTGATCACAGTAGGATTTTGAAGTTTTGAAAGATTTGCAAGAGATGTTTGAGGGAACAGATTAAGTGTCACTAAGTCAGTTCCCTCCAAAACCACTTACAGGTTCTTCAAAACTTAGAATTTACATATGCAAAATTCCTACTGTGATCACAGAGACTTTCATAGTGTAAACCAACCTATGGAAGTGTCATTATCTTCAACTTACTTTTTACTAGCTGTTATTAAAAACATTAATTTATAATATAAAGCTTTAATTATTCACTTCCTTAAATTATGGGTTGTATGATAATAGATTTCTTTTGTATGATTATAACGTGTTGAATGTAGAAAATCATAATACCTGTACATGTTTGGAAATTTTATAGCTCTTTAATTTTATATTTAAAATGTGGAACATTATTTCTGTATTGGGCGAGACACGCCCGTTCTTCGGATGGGCTTCTCTCTAATTTTCTGTGTGCGCGGAATTTATGTTAATTATTTCATCTTCCGTCATTGGTATTTACGAAGACAGCTGTTTCGAAAACCTCCTCCAATTAGGAGATTTTCTAAAGAACGAAGCAATTTCATTGGGGCGGTTCTAGCATCGTGTGCAATGAGGGGTGCAGGTTTTCCATGGGGTGGTGCATGAGGGAGCCTTACTGCCCACTCTCCTCTGCAGTCTGCAACACTACTATCCCAACATTACCATCATTTGAGATGGCCTAATCTGCATGTTCGCCGTTCTGTTACGTTTTACATTATCTTTTGTTTTATCGGCTTTTTATCACGTACGCGTGACTGGATAGTTGCTGTAGCACATTACAGTAAATTTGCTTGTTAATGTACTATATATTTGAAAATATGGCTGTATAACAACCTCGACATGTTTGCACAGTTAACCATGATATTTACTAAAGCATTCTGAGCATTTTCTCATGAGCTCACAAGTTAATGAAATCGCGCTAACAGTAGAAGTTCCGCTAATTGCTATTCGAAAAAATGTATGGTCAAGCAGATTTTTAGGGTGGTGCTGGACTTCTGTAAGGGGTGCTAGACACCAGTAGGTGAGGTCTTAAATTATCTTACAATAATCATGTCTTACTCTTTTAATCCAGGACTACCTGCCATCCAAGCAAGATGCCCTACACGCTCGGAAGGCGACGAAAGGCATTGTCGAACATGACTTTGACATCAAAAACGTTCCGTTCAGAATGGTAGATGTGGGCGGCCAACGTTCTCAGCGCGCAAAGTGGTTTCAATGTTTTGAAAAAGTCACCGCCATTTTATTCCTTGTCTCATCCAGCGCGTTCGACCAAGTCCTAATGGAGGACCGCATGACGAATCGTCTAGTGGAATCTTGCGATATTTTTGAAACGATCGTGAACAATAGATTCTTTGTCAATGTCTCGGTTATTCTCTTCCTAAACAAAACAGACTTATTGGAGGAGAAGGTGAAACGCACTTCGGTCAAAATGTACTTTCCAAATTTCCAAGGCGATCCACATAATTTAGGCACCGTTCAAGATTTTATATTACAAATGTTCGACAGTCGTCGCCGAGATCGCAGCAAGGCGTTATTCCATCATTTTACAACCGCCACTGATACGGAGAACATTCGATTCGTCTTCCACGCCGTGAAAGACATCATTTTGGGGCAAAATTTGCAGGCGCTTATGTTGCAGTAGTGATATTGATCTGTAAATAGGATGAGGTAGTTCTCTTGTGTCGTAAGTATTATGGAAGCTTCTAGGGACTCATTTTGTCCACAAAGTTCTACAGGGGATGCATGCTGTTAACATTTCTTCAATGTGAATCACTACTGTATGTAGAAAGTAATCAGTCGTTTCAAATTTCCTTTGTAAACTCTAGTATTACGTTTTTTCATTACGGACCGGTCATTATTTATGGCGGGGGGGGGGGGGTGGCACTGAATAGGAATGTTTTTCTTAGTGAAAATTTTTCTGATCCAAGTATTAAAAAGTCAAACGTTTTTTTACCCACCCCACCCCTGGCCAAAAGACTTTACAAACGAACACCATTCAGTTGTCACACTTGTCTTTTGCAAAGTTCTGCAGTCTAAAGTTTCATGTAGTCTGCACATGTACTTTCTTTGGAGACACCATTTGCCTCCTGACAAATCGGAAAATGATCAAGATAGTGACTCTGATTGATTTCCATATTGCATTGACATTGTTTTTTGGGTCTTCAATATTTGAGTGAGTCATGCTTTGGAAATGACAATAAATTTTTATTCCCTAACCCTTGAGTTGTTTTTCATTTACCCAACCTTTTACTCACTCAGAATTTTGTTTACCCAACCCTTTTCTCTTCGGTGCCATAAATGATGATCGCTCCCTAATAACATGCAATGCATTGGAATTCTGATAAAACCATGCATATTAAAAGCATTTTTGTCATTGCAAGATTAAATGCTGTCAATGAACGTATTTTTTATATCGGCAACAAAGTGAATATCAAATTGATGAATAACACATTGCATTTGCACTTACGTCCCTGGGAAATTGTCCCATTTATTATATTCAGCTTTTGTATGACTCAAACTTGACCCAACATTTAACAATGTACGATAATGACTGTTGAACCATAGCCTGTCGAAGGGAACATGGCTGTGAAACTCATTAGAATAACAATATAACTCATTATCTATGTTAGTCGACGTTTATTCATAAATCTGGTCGTTTCACCGTCACGTGCGTATTGTATTTTTACCAAATCCACCAATAACAATTTCCAGTTTCCGTATTGTTCGAGTCACGGATAGGTGACTTTCCTAAAACATTGCTATTGGTTAGTTGGGCAAGAATACAATACACACGTGACGGTGAAGGACCAGATTTATGAATAAACGTTGACCAACATAGATGATGAGTTATATTGTTATTCTAATGAGTTACACAGCCACCTTCCCTTCGATAGGCTATGGTTGAACCAAGTGTTGGACCCGGTTTGAATGGAATTCAAGCCTCGTTTACACTATCAAAGATTCTGTGATCACAGTAGGAATTTTGGACAGGTAACGTTTTGAAGGATTTGTAAGAAATGTTTGAGGGAACTGAATTAGTATTTACTGTCGTTCCAATTGAAGTGTTGCTCAAATATTGATTCAATACATTACCTGGGGCTGACCAATTCATTTCATCAAGTTCCTCGAGATATTCATACACTTCCTAGTATAATTGTAAACTTCCTGTTGAATAGTTTGAATGCACCAATCACCTTTGTTGGTTGTGCAACTAACCAATCATAAATAGAAAGGAAGTGACCAGAAATGATCAAATACTTGGAATTGGCTCTTTCACAGGAAGTGTATGAATATCTCGAGGAACTTGATCAAATGAATTGGTCAGCCCGAGGTAATGTATTGAATCAATATTTGAGCAACACTTCAATTGGAACGACAGTAACATTACGTCAGTTTGCTCAAACATTTCTTACAAATCCTTCAAAACTTAGAATTTGCTGATGCAAAGTTCCTACTGTGATCACAGAAAAACTTTTGATGGTGAAGCCAGGCTTTCGACAATAATAAACAAATTTGGTTAACGTTGTTTACATTGTTGCTACCCTGAGTTCACAACTTCAGATAGCCAAATTTGTCTTTGCATCAATATATATTCAAAATGTATGACTCGTCATTGATGAAAGAGTCTATAAAACATATACAACATTTAAAACATTTCTGTTCATTGTTGGTCCAATAGAGCGTTTGCGCATGACGTCACAGCCGCCATGTTGGTGTTCCAATTCAAAAGAATTTTAATTAGACTCTTTTGTCTGGAACACCAACATGGCCGCCATGGCTTTTGTTGACTTGGTCCCTGGGGAATGAGTGCAAACTCTCTGTAGTCCGTAGACAGATTTGCCTATCGTTTGTCCACATCCAATTCGCAATTTTTAGATAACTCTCATGTCTAGTTACTATTGAGGGCATAGAGATTATAAATAACACTAGAGGAGGCATCGAGGTTAAAAATTGGGAACGCAGCTAATGGGGGGCAAATTCAAGTCTCCGATATAAAATCATGCCCTCATTGGCTGATTTGAAACTCGTCACCAATGGAAACATGAATACCCATCCGGGACTTAAATTCCCAATAGTCGCGTTCCCTTTTTTTGACTGAATTAAGATTACAATGCCTCCTCTTGTGTTATTTATAATCTCTATGATTGAGGGTGGGAAAGGGGGGGGGGTACGGGTCACGTTTCACAACGAAAAAAAAAGCCGTTTCACGATTCACGTGTCTTAAAAAAGAAATTTCACGGAAAACTAGATTCTAATAAAATAATAGGTTTATTAAGAGTATGTTTAATGCATGGTACAGTATCTACGCTTTAAGTTCTCTCACTTCTCTACCTGTCAGTTAAAAACTACCTCATAACTTACAAGTTTGAGTGACGAGTATGTCCGATAACCTCCGAAAGGCCTCCGAAGTTTTTACTCTTGCGCAACGAGTGAGATCGATCATATAAATTAATAAACAAAGCAAAATCACAGTTCACGAAACAGACATCCTTAATTCTCATTTCACGGAGCATTTTTTATCGAGAATCACGCCTCACGGCTGTAGAACAAATCACATTTCATGACACTAAAATCAAGCATTTCATATTTCGCGCGAACAAATGTTGACGATTCACGGCTCACGAAAATACCCTTTCCCACCGTCCCTATTGTTCTAGTTTACAGAAACATGGAATAAAACAAAAGCTAACAAAGGTAACTAAGCTTTAGAATGATCTACATGAATGAATGACTCTTAACAATTCTAATGCTTAGTTTCCTCTTTGTTCTACTAGGCATGTGAGTCATAATGGAACTATTTACTTGAATTAACTAAACATGTCAGGGGCCAGTTGTTCAAAGCTAGGTTAGCGCTAACCCTAGGTTAACCTAAGATTCAAAGCAAACTTCCTATAAATTTGGAAATATTTCTTCAGAGATCTTGTCTGGATCGATAGGAGTTTACTTCTCTGAAGTTTTGAAATAAACTAAATAAATACATAAACTGAAACAGCAGGTTAAATTTTAACCCAGGGTTACCGCTAACCCAGCTTTGAACAACCGACCCTGATGTATAACTGTACAACGTAATACTAAATCTTACATCACACCAAGTACACATGACTCACTAACTAGCAGGCTAGTCACGTGACTTTATATAGTCGCTTGATCTATGGTGGGATAATATCAATTTTGCAACAGAGTGAAAATATTAACCAGTCTAGTTGAGAAACACTCTGTAATGTAATTTGCTGAATAAAATTTGACTTAATCTCAAGTATTCTTGTAATTTAAACTATGCATTTTCGTGTCGGTATTATAAAAATGTTTCCATGAAATGTTTTCACCCCTCCTGCATATGTATATTGATAAGGCAGATTTACACCACACAACTTTTGCCTAAAACTGTCGCATGCAACCTGCTTACAACTTCAGTTGTACTGTGTAAATCAAGCATACAACTTACCTACGACAACGTAAGTGAGTTGTGTGTTTGATGTACACAGTACAACTCAAGTTGTAAGCAGGTTGCATGCGATAGTTTTAGGCAAAACTTGTGTGATGTAAATCGACCTTTGGGAAACAGTCTATATGGGGACAGCTAATCTACCTTAGTTCCTCAAAGTCCTCAGCCAAAGATACGACACAGACACACATTTGTAACGTATTGTAACCTATCTCTTCTCAGAGGAATCTACAGTTAGGTATTTCGCGAGTTGTGTGTCCATATATTCACCACATTCCTTAACGAACTGTCCCCAGTTTGAAATCACGAAGCCAACCACCCAAACTGTCGCTGATATTCCAAGCGCTGCAAGTGTGGTGAAGAACAAAGCTGATACTAACACACAAGTTCCAAAAGCCAGCAATGTTCCTTCGACCAGTAGAAAACCGATTAACAGAAATATAAACGAACACAGAGCGAAAGCAACGAAGAGGAGTAAGGGTAGAGCTGAAATGATAGCAAAGATCAAAGTGAAGATGGTTAATGGTGGATTACGTTTGAGAATGGTTGGTAGCTCTTGCAGTGATGCTGGTAACATGGAATGGTATCTGGTTAATAATTCTTCTACCCCTCTCGTGTCCATTGGCTCCATGGCAAGTATTGGAGGATGATACTTTGTGAAGTTTTGCTTTTTGAAGGTACTGGAAAATGTAAACGATTATTGTTCAGTATACTACTAGGTAAAAGTGGGTCTTGAATGTTTTGTTGTGGTAAAGCAAAAGCAAAGATGATGGCAGGGTAGGTAAGGGTTTTGACTCTGAGTTAGGTAATGGCAATGGTGATGATAATGCTGGTGATCGATGATGATGGTTAAGATGATGGTGGTGATTATGGTGGTGATGTTTATGATGGTAGTGGTGATGATGATAATGGTGGTGATCAATGATGGTGATGGTTATTGGTTATGATGATGATGGTAGTGGTGGTGATGATAGTGGTGATGGTATGATGATGGTTAAGATGATGGTGATGATTATGGTGGTGATGTTTATGATGGTAGTGGTGATGATGATAATGGTGGTGATGATGATAATAGTGGTGATCAATGATGGTGATGGTTATTGGTTATGATGATGATGATGGTAGTGATGATAGTGGTGGTGGTGATGGTATGATGATGGTTAAGATGATGGTGGTGATTATGGTGGTGATGTTTATGATGGTAGTGGTAATGATGATAATGGTGGTGATCAATGATGGTGATGGTTATTGGTTGTGATGGTGGTGGTATGATGATGGTTAAGATGTTGATGACGTTGGTGGTGATAATTAATAGCAGTGGTGATGAAGATGGTTGTGATAAAGGTGGTGGTGTCGATGTTCCTAAATAATGCAATCAAAGTATGATTGTAGTGATGATTATTAAAATGTACACCACATAGGCTGTAGTTGGGTTCAAGATAACTTCAGCTGTCAGAACGGACTCATAAGAACACACTCAGATACTTTGACAAGGGAAACATACATCATCAAGTCTGATAGCTTACTTAAACCGGCGACAAACCAAACAGATCTCAGTTTACTTTCTCATTCAAAGGAAATGCGTATTAGTTTCAAACAAACATAATATTCAATTTCATGTCAACACATACGCAAAATATCGTATGACACAATCGACATATATTTAATTTCAAACATTTTATTTCGAAATTTAAAACTATTCTCAACCTTCCTCTAGCTTAAAACAACCGTCTACTAGCTTACCTCGTTCAAAATAGTAAATAAAATGAAACAAAATTCAATTTTTTGGTCAAAAACGTCAAATTTGCCTCCTTCTTGTCAAATATTATTAAACCAAATGTTAAATATTTATATTTAATCGGAAATACTCGGAACCCTCCGGAAATTAGTAATTAACTGCTGCATAAGAAATTAATTCGGTTGAAATTAAATATTAAAGCCTTTCTAAGCACGTTTAAGATGTTAAACAAATATTTTAATCTTAAAATGAAACATATATTATAATGAAATAGCAAAATAGGAGATAACACAACGAAAAAATGCCTCATTTTGAGTGAATTTATATATGGCAATGTTTTTTACCACAATCGGATACTGTCGGAAAGCATCGCTATGAAATCGTTTTCACGTGTATAAACAATAAATTTTAGTGATCAAAAATCACAAAAAAACATGGAAAAATTCCCGTTCAATTCACGGCGTTCTCCAGTAATCTCCTTGCACGGTGTGGCAGCAAGTTCAAATGCTTTGGTGTCCCAAATTGGGGCGAGGGTTTTGCATTTGGGAGGAAATGCAGCCGACGCGAGTGTGGCTATGGCTGCTGCTTTGAATGTCACGGAACCATGCAGTACTGGTGTTGGGGGAGATTGTTTCTGCTTGTTTTATGAAGCACGAAGCAAGAAAGTTAAAGGCTTAAATGGCAGGTTTGTATTGTTATCTACCCTAAGTAACCGTCATTTGCTTCTAACAATGAACAGACTTGCAGTTAAAACATTTTCATGACGTCATGTGCATGTTTCAATTAGCCCAGCCAATCATTGTGAGCATAGTCGATAGAATAAGAAGATTAGGGAACTCGATGCAGACATACTATACCTCAGACTGGGTAATTAAACCAACACACAGCTATTGGTTAGTCGGGCGAAAAAACAATGCACATATGTGACGATGAACCGACCATTTTTGCATAAACCAAGACAAAAACATAGATAATGAGGTCACAAAAATCTCACATCTTGTAGCAAGTTTACCAGTCCAAAGTTGTCAACAAGTATGGAACAAATAATAGTTTTGTTTGTGGAAACACCACGTAAATTTATTACTGCAAAGCTTTCGATATTATTACATGTTATTAGCACTGATGAAGATCCGGGCTTACGGATCGAAAGCTTTGCAGTAATAAATTTACGTGGTGTTTCCACAAACAAAACTATTATATGTTTTATCGCCATGCAAACATACAAAGAACTTAAGTATGGAACAAGCTGTTAACAACTTGTCACAAGCTTGATGGCATCAGACTTGTTGCAAAGTTGTTCCAACAAGTCTGATACAGCCATGATATAACAATATTGTTACAACCTTGTGTTGTCAACCTTGTAAGTTAATTGTCAACAAGTATGGAACAACTTGTTACCAGTTGCAACAATCTTGTTGATATTATCAGACTTGTTGCAAGGTTGTTCCAACAAGTCCGATACAGTTATGATAATAATAATAATAAGTTTATTTCAGTGTTAATTAATGTATTTATAGCTTAATTAATGATATAACAATATTGTTACAACCTTGTGTCGGCAACCTTGTAACATTCTTGTTATATCATGACTGTATCAGACTTGTTAGAACAACCTTGTAACAAATCTGATAATGCCGTCAAGCTTGTTACAAGTTGCTACCAGCTTGTTTGAAAGTTGTTACAACAACTGGGAACAAGCAGTGCGAACACAACTTGTCGACAGCTTGTGAACAGATTTGTGACAATTTGTTTGCAGACCTGTAACAACTTGTGCGTTTTTACGTGTGTATGTCTGCATCAAGTTTCCTAACCTTCTTCCATTGACTCTGTGTAAACCTGCAACAAACTTAAGCTGTATAATATTTATTTGTATAATATTTATTCATGTTTTCAGTGGTAGATCTGGAGCAGCCTTTACTCTGGACATGTTGGCCAACCATGGTATAACATCTGAGATGGGCATGCCGCCATTATCAGCACATACTGTGACAGTGCCGGGCGCGGCAGCTGGTTGGGTGGACACAGTTGAAACATTTGGTAGTGGCAAGGTAACACACACTGCTTTAACTTCTTACCTGAATGAATAAAATCATCTGAAAACAAGTTTATGGCCAAAGTGAATGTTGTCTATACAGGATCATAACAAAATCTGTACAACCAGGGAGAAGACCTTGTCATAACTTTGCTTGTTTTTCTTTAATGCAGTTATCATTGAAAGAAATTCTTGAACCAGCAATCACTCTGGCAGAAGAGGGCTTTCCAGTTTCTCCTATCACTGCACACGTCTGGTCAGAGGGTGTTACATCATTCTTTGCACACAAGAAGAATCCTAACAAGGATGCTTTCTTGATTAATGGCCGAGCTCCACATGCAGGTGAAGTGATGAAAATGCCACACTTGGCCGAAACATTTAAGGTACATTAATAAAAGTTTTCTTTCTTTGCAAGTTTTCTTTCTTTATTCTTCTTCACCTTCTCATTCATTCCTCCCTCCTTTAATTCCTTCCTTCCTTTCCCCAAAATTCAAGAATATATACCTGTTGATTCTTATTCAGATGCTCGCAGAACACGGCAAAGATGGTTTTTACAAGGGCAGAATAGCTCAGTCAATTGTGGACATTGTTAACGACAATGGTGGACGATTAACTTTGGATGATTTAGAGAATCATTCAAGCACATTATGCGATCCAATTTCTACAACATATCAAGGAATTCGTGTCTGGGAAATTCCTCCAAATGGACAAGGGATAATTGTGTTACTTGCTCTAAATATTCTGAAGAATTTCTCTTTGAAAGGTAGGGAAATAAGTAACGGAAACTCTAATCAAAATTTGAACCTGCTCAAAGTCGATAAGAGTATGACCGAGGCTTTACATCTGCATGCATGATTCTTGTGTTTGTGCTATCTTTGAACAATGATCCCGCAGTCACTGACACCTGACTTTATTATATTATTCCTGTCTAGATCTCAAACACAACTCCATTGAGTACATTCATATCATCCTAGAGGCGTTACGACTGGCGTTTGCTGATGCATGTCAATATTGCGCAGATCCGATGCATTCTGAGCTTCCTCTGGAACAGTTACTCAGTGAAGAATACGCCTGTGAACGAGCGAAACTTATTAACAAAGAAAAGTGAGTTTGGTTGTGTATCCATGGACTCTTTAAAGACTGATCATAATTTTACCTCTACCAAACAACGCATCAATAAGAGATGATCGTTACTTGACCTCCAGGAAGAACGGTTTAGAACTGATAGAGCTATCCAGCATAAATAAAGTTAGTTTAGGTTTCCTCGTGTAGTAACACTGGATCAATAAGAGATGATCCTTACTGGACCTCTAGTACGAACAGTTTAGAACTGATAGAGCTATCCAGTATAAATAAAGTTAGTTTAGGTTTCCTCATGTAGTAACACTGGATCAATAAGATATGATCCTTACTGGACCTCTCGGAAGAACAGTTTAGAACTGATAGAGCTATCCAGTATAAATAAAGTTAGTTTAGGTTTCCTCCTGTAGTAACACTGGATCGATAAGAGATTATCCTTACTGGATCTCTAGGAAGAACGGTTTAGAACTGATAGAGCTATCCAGTATAAATAAAATTAGTTTAGTCCCGAAACTGATAGATCCATGATCTAGTATTGAGTATGAAGAAAGTTAGTTCAATGAAAAGTCACATCACTTTTTAGATGTTGCAAGCTTCACTCAGCTGGTACACCATGTGTAGGTACAGATACAGTTTATTTCACAGTGGCTGACCAGGAAGGCAATGCTTGTTCTTTCATAAACAGTAATTTCTGTGGCTTTGGAACTGGACTCGTTCCTTATGACTGTGGGTTCACTTTACATGTACGTTCTATCATAACTTGAATATTAATATATTTTGGGTTTGTGACTTTAAGTCTGCTTTTCACTATCAAAGTTTCTGTGATCACAGTAGGAATTTTGCGTAGGTAAAGTTTTGAAGGATTTGTACAGGTGTATGTACCACAGAGTACCGCAAAAATTTACATGTTCCATATCTTTTGTCTAATGTATGTAATATGGTTCCTTAATATTTTTTAGTATAGTCTATCGATATATTTTTCTTCCTGGGGGTTTTGGGGCAAGATTTCATAGACTTAATTATTTTTTTTTTAAATGAATATTCTGCGGAAAAAAATCCAATGTACCACACAATACCAGTGCAGAGGTAAGTAAGCAACGGTTTATCGAATTGTACCAGGATTTGGTGTCATGTTGTATGATAATACTGTGGGATATTGCGAACTTAATTTAGTGAAAGTTAAACACTAAAATCAGTACAGAATACCAGTGGTATAACCAAAGAATACCAGTTTATCCTTCAAAATTTAGAATTTACCAATGCAGAATTCCTACTGTGATCACGTAAACCTTAGGGGCTGTTTATTCAATGAAGTGTTACGTATTTTGAGCAATTGAAATACGTGTTTCAGCCCTAAACAAAAGTTAGAGAACAACATTTGTTTTTTGTTTAAAACATGGAATTTCATACAATTTGTAACAGGCAATTTTGTTAGATCATGAACTGCAACTTATTTCAATTGCTCAAAATACGTCACACTTCATTGAATCCCGGGTAAGCGGGACCATATAAACAGCCCCTTACGTTAAATATTTCTCTCGTAGAATCGAGGTTTAAATTTCTCGCTGGAGCGAGGTCACGTAAACTGTGCTGGTCCCAGAAAACGACCATATCATACCATCATTCCTGGTCTGGCTACATTCGATCAAACTGGTGATCTCTTTGCAAGCTTTGGTGTCATGGGTGGGTTTATGCAACCACAGGGTCATGTGCAGGTAGGCCGGCTTTCTTTTTGATTCATTCTGTGGGGGTTTCAGTTAGACAACTGATGATTTCATTATTGGGTTTTTAGCGACTACTTTAGTTAGACTGTAGGTAATTTCGATGGGGAATACTGAGCTACGAGATTATTTTGTCTATGCTTCTAGTTTTCGGCGAGGTCCAAATCCGCCATTTTTGGGGGTACTGTCTGCCCTCGTGAAAGATTTTAGACAATTCAAACAATGTGAAAAACTACTTTTAAAAGTTGTAACTGTAAGTTTACCATTATACAAACAACTAGAATACTAAAAAGTTGTATTTCGTGATGCTGAGACTCTCAAACGTGGGAGAGGCAATACCCCAAAATGGCGGAAAAATGGACCGTGAGAACGGTTTAATTGTAACTCCACAGGTAAAAAGGTACAATTTGTATGTCACAGGTCTGCAAACTAGTTGTTACAAATTTGTTCCCAGTTGTTGTAACAAGGTCAAAACAGGTTGTTAACAACTTGTAACAAGCTTGATGGCATTGTCAGACTTGTTACAAGGTTGTTCTGACAAGTCAGATACGGTAACAAGAATGTTACAAGTTTGACAACACAAGGTTGTAACAATATTGTTGACAAATTGTTGAATTGCAGGACGATAACAAGTTGTTGCAGGTTTGTTACAACTTGTATGTTTTTACATGTGCAAGCCATTACAATGTATTTTTATCCATGTTTAGGTGCTCCTAAACATGATAAATTTTGGCATGGATCCACAAGAGGCTCTAGACAAGCCTCGTTTTAAAGTTGCTGTGTCAAACACAGACCACGCTGTGGGTAAAACTATACAGCTTGAGCAGGGGATAACACAGGATGTTGCTGAGGGCTTGAGGACAATGGGGTACAATGTTGAACATGATAGTACTTTTTTGAACTTTGGTCGGGGACAAATTATTCAAGAGAAAATGGGTGAGGGAAAGGATGGGAGGCGGGTCTATTGGGCGGGGTCTGACCCCCGAGCCGATGGCATGGCAATAGGATTTTAGAAAATTATGAGTAATCATTACATCAATTTTAGAAAGCTTTTAATAAGTAGTTATACATTTGAGTAGTGTATATTATGTATATGCGGAGCTTTTGGTTCCGCAAAGTCACTGCACTATGAATTAGGAATTGTTAGTGAATTTTTTTACAAAGTAGAATATAAATTAGAATACACTTTTCAACTTTATGAATTATATAGAACTACAATTACATAATAAGTGCTATATTAATCTAGGTTTAATTAAAGCAACTTTGAGGAAATGTATGCCAATTAGGTAATTGCTTATATCGATAATAGCCTAACTATAAATTAGTTTACGTAAAATGTCCGTACTTCATACTTTGACCAAAACTATGTTTGTGCGCATATATTACACAAATTCAAATGTTCTGCCCCAAACTAAATTTTCATTTACAAACTGGGCATCTTAACTAGTCATACAACAGTACAAAATGTAACTAGTCATACAGCCTTCTCATGCTCGGCTTATCCGTCAATTTTTGGGGTACTGCCTCTCCTACGCCTGAAAATGTATGCACTGCAAAATGTGTACATAAGGTAGTTGTGTATATTAATTATAGTAAATTTACATGCAGTTGCAACTTTGAAAAGTAGCTTTTCACATTGTTTACAATGACAGTACCCCAAAAATGGTGGATATACTCTATATTATAATACAAGATATTAAATTTCATTCAAGCCTAATATTTATTTACATTATAGCCGCTTTAAAGCACGCTTTTTGTCTTTTTTCTTTTTTTCTATTGTCTTATCGCTAAGCCCTCGCTTTTTGCCACACAAGCTAGAATCGCTAACGTCCAATGCAGCGCTGTCCGGTTGCGAGGATTTTGCATGAATATCTGTCATCATTTTTGCTCTGCGAGAATAATCGTCGTATTCTTCAAGTAACAATTTACCCGCCTCCTCGTTTAGTGCAGACTCCGGGTTTGGGACAATAAGCAAACATTTTATTGTCTGTAAAGAAAAATGAAAAATATTATCCATGTTAATAGGTTTAATCACATGTGTATCTCCTAACAATTTCAGTAATTCTTTCAATGCAAAAAACAAAATTAATTTAAACTCCTACCAGTAAAATATGTTTAATCCCAAGATCAGACTTCCAGTCTTTTTTTAACGTGTTCACACAAATCTCCCCATTGCTAGCAACGTTTGGATGAAATATCTTTGTCGTAAAAAATCCTGAAAAATTCCAGTAAATAATGAAAAGTCTGGTTTACGCCATTAAAGTTTCTGTGATCACAGTAGGAATTTTGCATGGGTAAATTCTAAATTTTGAAGGATTTGTAAGAAATGTTTCAGGAAACAGACTCATTGTTAACACTGAGTCATTTCCTTCAGATATTTCTTACAAATCATCACTGTGTAAAACATCGAGGTGTTTTAGCACATACTATTCACATAGTTTAGACGCAAACTATGTATTGAAACGTACCTTTTGGTGGGCTGGCTGGAAAATCTCGCTGCAGCACTAACTTTACTTTGAAGATTCCAGCTTCATACGGTGTCCCAGCTGAAATTGTTCAATTTATAGTCAAAATATACAAAAATTATTGTTTGCAAACTTTGTGACTAAATTAACTTTATTTTTCAATATCGGATAGCTCTATCAGTTCTAAACAGTTCTCTCTAGAGGTTGAGCAATAAAGGCATGACTTCATTAAAAATATTTGATAACTTCTAAAATACAAAGAGAACTTCAAAGTTTGGAAAGTTTACACTTTACCGTACCGGTGTCACAGGAGATTCGCCCCCCAGTAGATTCGCCCCCCTCTCAAAAGGGGGGCGATATTCCTAGGATATTCGCCCCCCGGGGGCGAATCTCCTAGGAATATCACCCCCCTGGGGGGCGAATCTCCTAGGAATATCGCCCCCCTTTAGGAATTTCGCCCCCCATATAAATTTTGAATTTTTGATCTAAAAACAAAACGATTGCAAGTTGAAAAGATTTATTGTGTGATTTATTTATTTATTACAAGGAGACAAAATTACATACACATTTTAGGCTTCTTAGCAGCTGGTGGTGTGCACAGTCTGCATAACCACTCATTTGAGGTACTTAGACTAGTGTCATATTGACATATTCTACACATCTAAAGTGGAACCATCACAGAGATCGCATAAAATCATGTTGTCGTATTCTTCTGGCAGTTTACATTCACATAACATATTATAAAAACAATCGCTTGCAAATTTTGTCAATACGAGTGTTAACAATAGCCGCCACAGTAATCACTTGCTAACAATAAACTATAGGATTAGTAAAAAATCTATGGAATGTGTTGGGAAGCGTATTGACTATTGTCCGTTGAATCGTCAACTTTCCGTGTCAGTGATGTAATCTTTTGCGGAAGTGCCGCAAAGAAAATTGCATTATATATGTGGTGTGGTTTATTCAAATCATTTCATGATACTTTGATTTTATTAGTGCATGCCTTAAACATTTGAGAATGTAACTCTGCAAAACTAAAAGCTTTCTTGTCTTTTTTGAAACGTATATTATTGGATTATTGCCTTTTGGCAAGTTCTACCCTTCGCTTCTGAGATTTATAAACTATATTGAAATAATGCAAGTAAAAAATAGTGATAAACCATACATTTTCCGATAACGACAAAACGTGGATGCAAAACAATACCAATAATTACAATAACCACCACGGTGATTACTTTTTAACAATGAGTTTAAGGATTAACACTGAAAATGCAAAATATGCATGGTGTGCCGTGAAGCGTCATAAGTCCTATTGAGTATTCATCTACTGTAACTGTGTAAAGCCCTTTCGATACATGTAATTGTAAATTTGTATTCTTACATGCAGGGCTTGAGATAACGTTCCCAAAGTTCCCGACCATGGTGATCGCAGTCCCTGCTTTTTCAGGTTGGAAACCGAAACTCTGCTTTTCCGCCGATCATAAGCAATTTCTTGCCGATCATTGATCGGTGATCGGTTGTTATTTCAAGCTCTGTCTTAACAATTTTGAATTGATACTGATTTCAAATGATTAAAGCCATGTAATAGTTATCCCATGCAACTGTTAGGAAGGGCGAAATTTTGAACGGAGGACGACAATCCTAAAGAAAAGGTGAAATTTCTAAAGGGGGGCGAATTTCCTAAAGGGGGGCGAAATTCCTAGGATTTTCGCCCCCCTGGGGGGGCGATATTCCTAGGAATTTCGCCCCCCGGGGGGCGACTACTACCTGGAAATAGTTATCTACCTGGAAATAGTTATCATACTTCTCGGCTTAAATTGCCTTGCCATGCATGTGTGTACCGTCTCTGAATACGTCGTGCACGTAGAATTTTTGGACTAATAGCGTTATACATTATCTGTTCCTTTAATCTATTATGCAAATTTCAAATAAGATCGAAAATCTTGACGAAATTTCCAGCTCCACATCCATTATATTAATAAAATTCTTATTTTCTCCGTCTTCGGGCCTTGGTGTGATTTGAAGTAGAACAATTTTGGGAATAATAGGTCAAAGGACTTATGGAATAGAACGTAATTTCGAGCATAATGTGCGTGTCCCTACTAAGCCATCCTTTGCTGTTAATATTCAATAAGCCTCAGGCATCGCCTTTTCCATTGATAGAATAATATAGTAAAATGCACTGCGCGTCGGATAAAACACGGGCAGCTTAACATTTTTTCTCTTAAACATTTTGCCCTATTGTTTTCAGATTTCAGTTTTTCTTTCGCTCCTTAAAAACTCACAGCAAGCTGAGCCAGACTTGGCGACTAATAATAATCTTGGCGACTAATCGGTAGGTAGGTGGCTATATACATTGTTTAAACACCGACCTCGAATCAGTTGAAGGAAATTCGATCCAGAAGTTGCGGAAGACCGGTAACCCAAATGCATGCATGATGCGGAATGGTTTAGGTACACTGAATCCCGGCTGTACGGGGTTTTTAACAGACCAGTTTGCCCCAGAGGCGGGGGAATTAATGTTTTTTAACACTTGGTTATTGTTAAATTCCCCGGTATGTCCCGGGGTTGGGCGGCCTGTGGTTTCAAAACTGCTGGTATAATGATAATAATTTTGAATTTGCATAGCGGGACTAAATTGTTGTGCTGGCTACGACACTGACAACAGTAACATACATAAACTATTCGAGGAACATACATTACTGTAGCAAAGAGGTCAATCATACCATAGTTAATAGAGGAGATGGTTTGGAAACTCGTTAGCATTACAATAAAATCACAATTAAACGTCATTATCTATGTTGTTCAGGCAGTATGCAAAAATGTGGTCTTTCATCGTCACGTGCGTATTGTATTTTTCTCAAGTCAACCAATAGGAATGTTCAAAATGTCCTATTGTTAAAGTCATGGATGGGCAATTGGACAAAACCGTTGCTATTGGCTGATTGAGCAAAAATACAATATGCACGTGACGATGAAAGACCACATTTTTGCATAAACCTTAACAAAAACATAGATAGTGAGGTTTATTGTAATGCTAATGAGTTTCCAAACCATCTCCTCTATTAACTATGATCATACACATTCAGACTTTTTAGTTCTTAGTAGTTACCATATATATTTAATTTTTTTCTCCTGCTGATTATACACCAGTACATTGAAAAATGTTGATTATGATTCTATAATTCTTACCTTAAAACAAAATGTTCAGTTCAAAAGTAAAGTACACAGCCAATCCAAAAAAGTTTGCCCTTTGAAAAACCTTAAACTCTAAACCTTAATAAACTCTATAAGCGCGCAAAGCTTAATGGGAACACAAGTTTCAAGCTTAATAGTTGAATGTTGCAGCTATTTGTGAATGAACTGTTCTCAGTTGTAAGGAGATAGCTTACCATGCCTCTAACCATGACAAACTGATTAAATCGTGGTAAACCATTATGCTTTGCACGCTTAGAATTTACGGTTTAAGGTTCAGAGTTTAAGGACAACCTAGCCTGCTCGCAGCTAGAAATTAAATCCCTAATTTCGCATTTCACTGAATTTCGCAACAAATTCGGGATGCGAGCAGGCTAAGGACAACAACCTGTTTAATTTCAAAGCAGGGTCGCCGGAAGGACTGAAAAGCGGCGGGGGCAGAATCTTGAAAAGGGCACTCGAGCCTCGTAGGGAGTCCAGAGACATCTTCTCCCAGGAAATTTTAAATCTAGAGTCTCTGAAATGCCATTTCATGCGTTTTGGGCAGAGATTTGACATGCATAATTTTGAGAATCAATAAACGTCACGTAAAATACAAAAAACTTAAGTATATGGGTGGAATATTTTGGTAGCTGATGAAGTCTGACAGTTTGCAGCCAAATATTTCTATAGATTGTGCACTAGATCAGATTTTTAATATATTTTTAATAGCTTATGAATAAATTGAGTATATTATAACATTTAGGTCACGAACATTGTGCAAAGCAAAACAGAAAGAGCGCAAAATATTGTTACAATAGCAAGCTAACGCAAATACATGCAGTTTATGCAAATATACTCGCACAATAATATAGTATAGTGGTACTATAAAGAAACCGATAACTCTAATCTGTAATCCTTGCTTCTTTGCTTGCGCATGCCGTGATGCATACCCAACGAAAAAAACTAACTGTCACGGTTCAATGCTTCTTATTTATAGTAGAGGCAACTAGTTAAACAAACTAAAAACTGAATTTAATGAGGTTGCGTATCTTGGGTGGAAAATCACAAGAAGCTGGAAATTCTGGAATGCTTTAAAACCTTCTAGAACAGGAGGAGATTTATCGCGAATGCGTTATTCATGTAGTGCTAGTCTGCCAGAGCATGATTGCGCTAATCGACTACAGAACATTAGATCTGAGTCAATAAACTAGAAAAATGTAGAAGGCTTATATAACTCACCAGACGATCAACGTAGCCTGCGTAATGCGTAAATGAACCACGAAATGAACGTGGTCATAATACATACTTATACATATGACGGCAAGTCATCAATAACCTATTAGTTAAATGCCGTTAATACTTCTGTTGTCACAAAAAGGGGGCAACCAGTTGCCCCCACACTGCCCCCGCACTGTCAGGGCAGCGGGGGCCACTGCCCCCTTGGTTCCGGCGCCCCTGTTTCAAAGGACAACCTATGATTTTGAGTTAGCTGTAAACTACTCCCCAAAAGACTCGAAACGTACTGCTATGTTGAATTTAGCCTGCGAACAGGCTGCTGCGATTCCACGGTTTTCTCACTGATCTATAAATATACCACTGAACAGTCATTTCCGCATAGTGCGCTATTGGCCATGGGCGGTCACAAGCTAAAATACTAGTCACCGATTGGCTGCAAGCTAACCGCAGCTCCATAGCATAATATACTGATCTGCTGCGCAGATACAAAAATGTCTCCCCGAACCGACGTTAAGGGCCGGTTTGAAACAATGCAAAAGTTTGAGTACTAAAATGATGGATCAGCGTGGTGACCAGTTCCTGGTCCAGTAGTACGATCGTACTTGTTGAGACATTTGGTTATTGACATTGTTTACACCGTTGCTACCCAGTTCAGAACTTTAGATAACGCACATGCCAATATTGTTCTAGTTTACAGAATAGAATAGAACAAAGGTATCTAAGCATCAGAATTATGTATAAGATTTATTCTGTAAACAAGCCGCTTGCTAACCGTTTACTCGAGCTAAAGGATTTGCAAAATATCTTATTCAGCGTATTCGCATCAAGATTTACTTCATACATTTTACATCTTATACTCCTTTAAAGTGCATTATCAGTTAATCGAGTCAGCTACTTTGTGGCGTATCTAGTGGTTTAGGCGCCGCTTCCGAAACTACGTGGTTCTCGAGTTCAATCCCGTACGGCACAGTTTTATTTTCAATTCTTTTGAGTCTGATTTTAAGGTTAGGTCTTAGGATTAGGAGTTAGGTTATGTGTGGGGTGGGTTTAATTTTTTTAAGAGAATATTTTTAACACTTTAGCAGTTTAGGACCAAATTTCCTGACTGCCAGCCAGTATTTTGTTTCCGATGGAATTAATTAAGTTTGATAGTTTAGATACATGTGAAGGATATTTTGAATATATACTAGTAAACCAGATCGAGCACACAAAATATTGCGTACAGCCGTTTACTTTTATCGAGTACGCTTAGAAAGCGTCACAGCCGTTTACTCAGTATTGATCGAGTACACGTAAAAAGCATACATTCACAAATACTTGATCGAGTACGCATATTAAAAGGCACTATTATTACACTTTTTGTATAAAGAGTACTGAGTACAGTCCAAGCTCAGAGCCATATGATAGAGTAAACAAAGTTTAATAGCACGAGAGCAGGTTTGGCGCCCTTTTCATTTTGTTGTGATATCAGTGTCCTGTCATAGATATTTGTAAGTAGATTGTCAGTTTATACATCTGTATCTGCCCAGTATTCCTTAAGTCGTATTTATCCTTGTAATTTCTGTATATTTGTATTTGTATTTTAATAGCACTGTTGTTGTTTGAATATTTAAACTTTCTGACGCGTTGAAACTCGAGGCCCCTCAATCAGTTAAACAGCGGTGGGGCTGGCACATGGGGCATGTGAGTTACTTGAGTATAAACAAACCTTACCATATGCATATAATTATTATTATTATTATTATTATTATTATTATTATTATTATTATTGTCTTTTCATTTCTTTTGTAACGTACTGAGTACTCTACTGCTAATTAAAGTGCTAAGAGTTAAGATCAACGTACTCACAACAGAGTCAGTGTTCCGTTTGTGTCACATTCTATTAGCTCTGTAAAAGTTTACTTACTTACGTAATATTACGTGCGTAACTCTACAGGAAACTACATCCGCACAACCGCAAATAGTAAATCTGTGACCACAAACATTTCGGTGACTGAATCATGACTGGATGACATGGAGAACAGTGGAATTTTTGTATGGAATGAAAAGACAATGGAATATTAATCCAATCACTGCATGTTATGCTGGTGTTTTCCCACAATGGCACAAAACATGTCACGATCGAGGTCATGACGTCATAGGAAACACTATATCTTGGATTATGCCAATATCCTGTATCTATTTTTAAAACACATGTGCTTCGCTTATATATATTTGTCAGGAACGTCCCAAATCCTGCCATAATATAAAAGACCTTGGCTTATGTGGTTGCTTAAATATACACCATATCGAACTTGACATTAGCGCAAGTTTAACGGTCCCTTTCGAGATTGTTTTTGTTACGTTTTCTAGAACAGTTCAAGATGAAAGTTTGTGTAATTGGTTTGCTTGTTTTGTTATACGTTCTCAACGGACTGCACCTTAGCGAGATATGTGCAACACTTATATTCATTTGCTTTCATGCTATAGAATATAGATTATCAGAGACCGCGCGGAAGCGCCGCCCCCCCCCCCCCCAAATAATTGTAACGACTGAACTCATAGTCATATATGCCCTAGCTTTCGTAATGTTCTTGGTTTTGGAAATCGGTACACTCTAGTATTATAATAAATACTAATAGTTGCATGCTCAGCTCAGTACCATCATTGCATGCAAGGTTGAAATATATTTCTCACTGCCATTGGCTTAACCAAAATTATTAGTTTTGAAAGGTGAAACATATTAGTTTTGAACTGTTTTGGTCTTCTACAGTTTCGCAGTTTCAAAGCGTGCCTACGCCGTTGCATATTTGTGCATGTAATGGATGACTCCAGCTATCGACTAATTTTTTATCTAGACAAGAAAGACGAAATTTATTATTATAGCTCAAAAGAGCTCCTAAAATTAGTAAAATTGTGAAGGTTGGTTCCGTAATGTTGTAAAATAAGAAATATATAGCCATGTGATATTAGCAAATTTTGAGTATTACACGCGGGAAAATGCACTACTTAATACTAAGATACTCGGCGAAATTTGTTAATTTCACAGGGCTATATTTTCCGTATTTTACAACATTTTGCAACCAAATTTGGCAATTTTACTAATGTAAGGATGCTCTTTTGAGCTATAATGATAGATTTCGTCCGTGTTGTCAGGATTAAAATGTAGCGGTCTAGCCGTATATATAACTGGAATCATCCATTGTTCTTTTACAAGACTTACAAAAAGATAATCATCGGGAAAAATCTTCACCAGTTTTCAAACGCGTTCCAAAGTATCTTTGCATTTTCCAGATTTTTTTTTAGGCCATTTTCGGCACATTTTGCAGATTTAAGCTCATTTTTCGCAAAATATAAAAAAAGCTTTTTAAAAATGTTTGAATGGCTTTATACTAGATGCAAAATAAGTCGAAAGAAGTGATTTTTGAGAAAAAAGCAACATGCAAAATCAGGCTTAAAGCGCAAAAACTGTTTCCAAGAAAAAACCGTCAACATAAACAAAAATGTTCAAAAAATCTTGCTGACCATCAATTTTTTTCTGCACAAATGACGATACGGACTAGCAAAAATTACGAATAAGCAAATTACAGTATCAGTATTATCTTAGAAATGCGAAGATATAGATACACCTTATTAAGCAGCATAAATTTCTAAAGAAGTTGAAATATACATAAAACTGTAAAAGTATCAGAAATTCTGATACTTTTGAAACTCTCTATATCTCAAATAATTAACACTGCGGACTGAAACTGATATAGTCCAAAGTATCAGAAATTCTGATACTTTTCAAATCCCCTCTATGCGGTGAAATATACTTAAAGCTGCAGAAACTGTTAGTCCAAAGTATCAGAAATTCTGATACTTTTGAAATCCTTTGCATGTATCTAAATTATCCTTAAAACTGCAGAGACTGATAGTCGAAAGTATCAGAAATTCTGATACTTTTGAAATCCCCTCTATGTAAAATAGACTTAAAACTGCAGAAACTGTTAGTCCAAAGTATCTGAAATTCTGATACTTTTGAAACCCTCTGCATGTTTTTCAAATATCTTTAAAACTGCAGATTGATAGTCCAAAGTATCAGAAATTCTGATACATTTAAAACCCTCTATATCTCAAATATACTTAAAACTGCAGAAACTGTTAGTCCAAACTGGGTATCAGAAATTCTGATACTTTTGAAATCCTTTGCATGTATCTAAATTATCCTTAAAACTGCAGAGACTGATAGTCGAAAGTATCAGAAATTCTGATACTTTTCAAATCCCCTCTATGAGAAATACACTTAAAACTGCATAAACTGCCAACTGTTAGTCCAAAGTGAGAAATTCTGATACTTTTGAAATCCTTTGCATGTATCTAAATTATCCTTAAAACTGCAGAGACTGATAGTCGAAAGTTCATGTCAGAAATTCTGATACTTCAGTTAAAATCCTCTCTATGTAAACTTAAAATTGCAGAAACTGTTAGTCCAAAATATCTGAAATTCTGATACTATTGAAATCCTCTGCATGTTTTACAAATATCTTTAAAACTGCAGATTGATAGTCCTTTGCATGTATTTAAACTGCAAAGACTGATAGTCGAAAATATCAGAAATTCTGATATTTTTCAAATCCGCTCTATGTGAAATATACTTAAAACTGCAAAAACTGTTAGTCCAAAGTATCTGAAATTCTGATACTTTTGAAATCCTCTGCATGTTTTTCAAATATCTTTAAAACTGCAGATTAATAGTCGAAAGTATCAGAAATTCTGATACATTTAAAACCCTCTATATCTCAAATATCCTTAAAACTGCAGATTGAGACTGATAGTCCAGAGTATCAGAAATTCTGATACGTTTGAAACCCTCTTTATCTCAAATATACTTAAAACTACAGAGACTGTTAGTCCAGAAATTCTGATACTTTTCAAATCCCCTATATATGTGTTTGGACAAATCCAAGTCAATATTCAACACTGACACTAAATATGCTATCTTACAAAGCAGTTGTCTGTTTACATATTTCGTTGCTAAAAAGTATATTTTTTCTTTTTTGTTTCTCAAATTCATCAGTCTAATCATCAGAATGGCCCAAACTGGCAAAACCTTGATAGAAAATTAAATCTAGATTATTGACCCAGACACGGAAAGTATTATACACGATTGATAAAAGCTACGTGACAATGTCATGTATGTTCACTTCAACTAGTATATACATGTATCGATAAAATAATAGTCTTAGTTATGTCTAAGTTCACTTATGACTTATGTACTTCTTTACACGATCACTGAGCCTGTGTATTGCTGTCTACAGCTTGATTGGGGCCATTCTGATGATTAGACTGATGAATTCGAGAAACAAAAAGAAAAATAATATACTTTTTAGCAACGAAATATGTAACCAGACCGAGCGAACAATTTGCTAAATGTTGACAGTAAAATAAATGTACAATCTAATATAAAAACAAATAAAACTTAAACTCTAACGAATATGAAAACTCATTTGGCCTATATATAGAAAAATTTACTTCAAATTTACCATAATACTGGCTTCTTTTGGCTCTTAAAAAACTCAAAACAAGTAGAAAACAACTCTGAGCTTTCGGGATTTTCTCCGCAAACTACGTCACAATCCTGTTGACGTCAACCTTTTTATAAAGGCCTATTACTGTGGGCCCTTTTACCTAACCGACCCTGTCAACTTTCCCTGTGGGAGGAAACTGGAGTAACCGGAAAAAACCCACGACTTTTGGCAGAGTGTGAGTTTACTCTTTTTACACGAGGATCAGTGCGTTCGAGTCGCATTGAGAAAGTTCTCACTGAGATTTGAAACTGCGACCTTAGAGGCAAAAGGCAAGAATATAGGCAATATACAGCTATTTCAATTAAGGTTGTCCCCCGAGCAAAGCGGAAAAGTCGAATACGAGCGCGAAAGGCTGCTGGGAATCGCTCATCAATTTATTCATTTATTAGCGATTCCCAGCAGCCTTTTCGCGCTCGTATTCGACTTTTCCGCTTTGCTCGGGGGACAACCTTAATTGAAATAGCTGTATACATGATTAAACATAGGCAATATATACATGATTAGAATATATAGGCAATATATATATATATAATCATCATGCAATATTATACATGATTAAATCACAGTTATTAAATTAAACAAAATTAATTAACGTCGGAAATGCACTTGCCGGGCTTAATTGTAGTTTTTAACATGTTCTTTAGACAAATGGATTTAGATAAAGTGATATATCTCGACCTTGGTCATGAAAGAAGAATTTGTAATTGTTTTCCGAAATCTATATATTTCAGACAAAGTTTGGAGAGAGGAGAGGACCTAAAGGGGGGGGGGGTTGATATTACCAAAATCAACGCATTAATTAGCAAGAGGGTGTTGATGGGATATACCGTGAGTCGTGATTCACTCAATTTCGGTTACCGTTAGTCGTGAAAACACTAAAAATTTAGCGTGAATCGTGAGGAAAAAATACTGTTTATCGTTTCAGAACACTTTCAGTTAAAGATTTACCGTTAAAATAACAAAATGTTACTTATTGTTACCGTTAAAATACGCAAAATTTTACCGTTTACTGATTTTCAGACCCCCTCCCCCATCTAGACCATCTAAGCACCAAACTAACATAAACTTCCAGTCAGTACACCCGAAAAGTACGTCACTTTACCATAGAGCCTCGTTTTCGAGTGTATTGTAATAAGACCCCAGTTACTCGATACCGGATTCGCATCAGAGCGATATCAAATTTTACAGTTTCAAGGGGAGTTTAGCAGTTACCTTTCGCATGCATTTTAAATTCTCCTCTTTGTTCCGACGATAAGATAAGTTTATTACTCCGACTTGTCAGCACGATGGAGTTTAAAAAATAGCGTTTTCTGGGTTTTTAAATTTTTCCCTTTAATTAAACAGGCTGATCATTTTGTCAGAAAAGAAGGATATTGTATGTGGTATGGACAGTGTGGAATAAACCCTTTCGCAAACAAACCTATTAACTGTTTATACAACGGACCAGCAAAGCCAGTCGCCGACCGAGAATCTCATGAAATCTTAGCGCAATTATGCCCGGAATTATCACGGCTGTCCAATAGCAAAGTGTGCTGCGATCATGATCAACTTGTCAACTTACAATCTGGTATGCAAAGCGCCCGGCAAATGATGGCCCGCTGTCCCAGTTGTTGGAAAAATTTTCGAGAGTTGTACTGTCGTTTGACATGTAGTCCTAACAATTCAATGTTTATAGACCCCACAAGACTGAGTGCTGATAAAAAATCCGTAGTAGCTATAGATTATTATGTCGATATAGCGTTCAGAGATGGATTGTACAACTCGTGTAAAAATGTTGCATTTCCGGATGGTCATCAGAAAATCATGAATTTCATGTGTGGTACTACGGTTGGAAAATGTACCCCATTAAAATTCCTAAATTACCTAGGAAATCCTGTCGCCAACGGAGAATCTCCGTTCTCAATTAGTTACCCAGACAAGGCGAAGCGTGGTATTAAGTCAATGAATGCGACCATAACATCATGCAATGAATCGTTCTTTGACCCCTTGAGCAAGTCGACAATGGAGGCATGTGATTGTCGGGACTGCATCGAGTCGTGCAAGCATCCTTTCCCGATAAAGTTGCAAGAGTATTTGGCGGCAAAGGTTATTTTTTCACTCAAACCTAGTAGTGAGTTAAATCGACGAACATGTTATAAAAATTTCTTTTCGAGAAATTGTAAACTTACTGGCACTATATTGCGAGTGCGCATACTGCAAAAGGTACGTAATTATCCAACGTGTTAATACAAAAGTTTTCAATAAAACCTGTTCCACCCCCCCCCCCCCCCCCC